GGGGTATGTGTTTGTAATGTTCTCTTTCGTTGCTGTGATCTGTAAGGTGGGCCTGTCTGTAAGACGATGGGGGGAGGGGGAGGGAGCCGCAAAACCTCGAACTTAAAGCTTACACTCACTATTTTCTTCGAAAATATACGTGAGGTCCACAAAACCCAATGAAAAAGTTAGATCATAAAAAGAGAGAAGGAGGACTGCTTTTTAGGATGATGTTGACCGTCGGCGATGGAACGTTTTTATCTCTAAAGCAATGAAAGTGCATATCTTTTCAGACGTGAACAGACAATGTTTCCAATTTCCAGGATTCTGAAGCTTGTACAGGTATGGTATATCCTTAATCAATGAAAAGTTCAACAAGAGGAAACAGCAGTATGAAGAACAGTTGAAGAAACAAAAAACGTGAAGTAAGAAAGAATACGGATTTAACTGAACATGAAACACTTACAATCAATAAGAAGTTCAAGAGACAAAAGTAAGAGTATGAAAAGCCACTTGAACAATACCATAGCCGTGTGAGAGCTAGAACGTCTTTCGTCGAACTAGAAAGATCACCTGAAATGTTGATGAAGACTTCACTCTAAAGATTTTTTCTTTCTTTCTCTCTTTCCTTTGATTTTCTGATAATTATGTAATAATTTCGAGTATTTTTGAATTATGTATATTTCATGGAAAGTAGATGAGAGCTTTCTTCTTAGGCTATTTTGCGAAGTGTATTTTTTTAAATTCTTATTCTAGCCGTCTGCAGGTGGGTTGTATTAGTTTCTACATACTTGATTCTGAAGCTTTTTAGCATTACTTTTTCTAAGAGCTGCAAGTATATATTGGAGTAAAGAATGCGCCACGGATTTTTAAAATTATAAATGGAAAAGCAAAACTATTTTACGTTAACGAACTATGGTCCCTGCAGATTCATTCTGGTGATTTGCAAACTCTTCTCTCTCTCTCTCTCTTCCTAGCCTTTGCATGAGTCTTCACAAGGTTTGAATGTTCAAAGAGCAAGTCTTTAGAGAAATCTTCCATAAAATGTTGTTTATTTCCTCTAAAAAAAGCAGCTACAGTTTGTTATGTCAAACATGTGAGAAGCTAAAGCTTTTTTGCGAAAAAACAAGCTACAATTTCTTGATTAATTAGCGGAAAAAGGTTAAAATCACACGTACACCATCTATTTTTTTCACCTAACACAAAATTGCAACATACATATCACCGGCACATTGCTGATCAAATAGTTTCGAATGTTGACATTTTCCGAGGCTTGTAGCACTTTCATTACATTTGAATTGTTCCATTAGAAATGTACAGGGGATTACAATTTTATCATCACCATATTGAAAGAAACACTCCTTAAATGGTCCATTCCCAATTGGACGATTCAAAGCAAATATTGGATTTGCTCCTTGTCCCAATGAGCGGCAAACTGCAATAGCAGCATCACGTTGAAAGCCATTTTGACAAACATGTCCGTCAACATAGAAATAATCTTTTTTATCTGAATTTGGAATTTCAAGTTGAACTTTTACACGTATACGTAACGGAGCTAACTCTTGGATCGTAATATCGGCGATTGAACGAACTGAAGAGAACAGACTAAACATGTTATGACATGTTTCCTGCCAGGGCAGCAGTGCTCTCGATGATGATTGATTGCCATTATCATCTCTGAGTGCCTGTAAAATATTTGCGCTGATTGATGAGGCAACCGTTGAAGAACTAATTAAGGCAAGGACCATCAAAGCCGAGAGAATCAACTGCATGATTTTCGATTGAGAAGAATGAACTGAAATAGAGGAGAAAGAAATATACCTGAGATCGACGGGGGATTCAGAGTCGACAATACGATCTGATAGCAAAACGTTTTGTCCACAACTCGAGTTTGATCAACTTTTTGAGTTTGATCCTGGTTCTGGTCCTCATCTTAGCAAGTTTTCCTTTTGAAAAAGAAGGTGAAACAGGTTTTTGTTAAATGCGAAATGAAAAAGATTAGTGAGAACGATTTTCCTGTCTTCATACAGATAAAATATAGTCCGTTTACATAATAAAGGCTCCAATACTATTTTGTACCCTAGCGCTAACAAAATTTCGAAGGTTTTATTTCAAATTATGCGCTGTGTTTCGAAGGACGAGTATGTTGTACAAAAACAGCATCAGAGCTATTTTTATTAATCGAGTAGTATCGTTATTCACAGAGCTTCACACTCTTTGACAGAGCTCATCTTTTTATATATCAAAAACTTGCGATCTTCGTACTTTTCTAACGGAAAATTTGATAAATTAAATACCATCGTAGGCGACTTTTCTGCACAATCTGGAAAAACAATTTACAGTTGAGACAGATTCTACCGTAATAAATTCTTCACTGTGTCCAACCCTTTATTTTGAAAGTTTTCGAACAATGTATACAAAGAAATAGGTTTTGTAGAAGATAATATCAAGCGTTTTCATTTCACTTTCGCCCGGTTACAGGACAGTAGCTGGGATCAGGAAAGAGGATCCCGCCGAATAAGACCATAAAGCTTGTTAGCGCAGTCCCTTTGAAGCTGAAATGTGGAACTCACATATATTCTTTGGTTTCATAATACTAATCTCAAAATACGCAATATTTTAAAACTATAAAAGATAATAGTTTTTTTCTAAAGATAATTGATTATCAGAAAATGCTGTCTTTTTTATCTGTATATTTCGAACAGAAATTTCTTCTATTTTTGGACGAAGTTGCTATGGTCTGTAATGGGAGAGGGGGGGGGGGCGTGTCTGTAATGTTCTCTTTCACGTTGCTATGTGTCTGTAATGGGGAAGGGGAAAGTCGCCAACCTCGCACTGAAAACTTACGCTCACTATTTTCTTCGAAAACATACGTGAGTTCCACAAAATCTACCGGTCGTCTCAAATGACTTTAACATCTAAATTTGGACAGACCTCCGTCACGAGGAACATTTTCCACATAAGTTTTATAAAAAGAATTCTGTCCAACGGGTAGAACAAGTTCCATCTTTCACCCATACTCAATAAATAACTTTGTTTTTATTTAAGCCACACATCTAAAGGTAAAATTCGCCTTCGAGCGATCACTATGATTCATTCATTCTGAGTCATCTTCAAATACTGCGTTCTAGCATGTATATACGGTCCTATTTTGACCACATTCGTCTTTTATGTTTTATATTAACTAAGGGTAAATCCATGGGAACCGTACCGCATTTACATCGACTTTCTCAGAATTGGCTGACACTTTCAGAGTTTGTAGAGCTCGACGAGCTGATCATTTTGGTAATAAATTATTAAGGACTTGTATATATAATAACGATAAAATAAGCAAAATACATTTATAGGAATTTCGGAAAAAACATGGCTAAATTGAAGAGTACTGGACTTTGTGAGGACCTTTTCGTCCTCATTTTAAGACCGATACAGAACATTCTATATATATTCTGATAGCTCGCGTTCACGTCTATCGAACCATATAGGTCAGCTTCAGAACGTGAAACTTTGAATGGGAGCTAAATTATGTCAAAGCTAGATAAACTTTGCCTCCCAATAAAAAATCTCTTCCGAATTTGGGACAATATTGACCTACTAGGTTTTGCAGAGCGTCGTTTGCTCTACCTCCTGGTATATGTAGCTTCGAAGCCGGTTTCCATTTTCGCTCGTTAGAGAACGAAAATTTTCATTTACTAGCATTTTCTGACCGATTTAGTCAATGTTCCGGGACTTTTTTAAAGGAAGACTCAATGAATTAATCTGAAAATCTAAATCTAGATAAATATCGACAATTGGAATAAAAAGCATGTGAAATTTTATAAGTCATCATGTTGCTTTTCATATCATTTTATGTCGGTAAAATGTTCAAAAAAAGTGTTTCAATTCTTCAAGGTTTAAATTTATCTTTGTTAATGAGAATCTCTGGAATATTTTATTACAATAACACGGCCATCTAAATGGACTACTTACTCGTTTTGATTTAGCATTTTCTAATCTGAATTTAAAGAGTGCAATGGTAAGTCTTTCTAGCAGTGATGCATAAAAAATAATGGACCAGAAAAGGCATCCAAAACTCCAAGAGAGTTTTATGAAATCTCCAGAAAATAATAAGCGTCATCACAATCTCCTATCGAGCTATTATATGCAGTTCAAACAAGATAGTTCGGCTTCATCAAGAGAGGAACATGAACTGATGGGAAAATACTAATGGTAAAAGGATTCATGTCAGTTACATTTCTCTACGTTCTTTTTTTAGCGCTTAATTGAATTCACTGATTCCATCATTTTGAACCAATGGGTGTTCGGATTGCTCAATGCCGTCGTACAGCACAATATAACACAAGTTAAATCTACCGGCTATGATTTATTTCTTGCTCATGGTTTCTACTTTTTCATTCTGCTTATTATCGTTTTGAGAAGAAGAAGTTTATATTCATTTCTCCACAATATATTATCAAGAAAGCTAATATATTGATGTAAAATCATTACTCTGAAATCTACCAGACTAACTCATTTTTCTGTCCAGCACGGTAGATTTAAGTATTGTTTCCTCGAATGCATTTGTTTTCGCATTATCGAATAAAAATAGATCAGGGAAAGTAAATATATTTATCTCACATTAGCATCAGTACTATTCGTACACAACTAATATTGCGCATGTAACATTGAATGTATTTTTTATACATCATTACTAGAAAGATTTAACATTGCACTCTTTAAATTCAGATTAGAAAATGCTAAATCAAAACGAGTAAGTAGTCCATTTAGATGGCCGTGTTATTGTAATAAAATATTCCAGAGATTCTCATTAACAAAGATAAATTTAAACCTTGAAGAATTGAAACACTTTTTTTGAACATTTTACCGACATAAAATGATATGAAAAGCAACATGATGACTTATAAAATTTCACATGCTTTTTATTCCAATTGTCGATATTTATCTAGATTTAGATTTTCAGATTAATTCATTGAGTCTTCCTTTAAAAAAGTCCCGGAACATTGACTAAATCGGTCAGAAAATGCTAGTAAATGAAAATTTTCGTTCTCTAACGAGCGAAAATGGAAACCGGCTTCGAAGCTACATATACCAGGAGGTAGAGCAAACGACGCTCTACAAAACCTAGTAGGTCAATATTGTCCCAAATTCGGAAGAGATTTTTTATTGGGAGGCAAAGTTTATCTAGCTTTGACATAATTTAGCTCCCATTCAAAGTTTCACGTTCTGAAGCTGACCTATATGGTTCGATAGACGTGAACGCGAGCTATCAGAATATATATAGAATGTTCTGTATCGGTCTTAAAATGAGGACGAAAAGGTCCTCACAAAGTCCAGTACTCTTCAATTTAGCCATGTTTTTTCCGAAATTCCTATAAATGTATTTTGCTTATTTTATCGTTATTATATATACAAGTCCTTAATAATTTATTACCAAAATGATCAGCTCGTCGAGCTCTACAAACTCTGAAAGTGTCAGCCAATTCTGAGAAAGTCGATGTAAATGCGGTACGGTTCCCATGGATTTACCCTAACACTTAAATAATATCCTAAAAAGTGAATTCCGGCGAAACAGAATCGCATTTTCGTGTTTCGACTAAGAATTCAATGAGAGTTTACCTACAGAAATATGTCTCAAATAAAAAACAAAGTTATTTATTGAGTCCGGGTGGAAGATGCAGCTTGCTCTCCTGATGGACATGGACAGAACTTTTTCTTATAACCTTCATGTGAAAAATGTTGCTCACTATGTGTTCTATCCGAATCTTCATGTTAAACTTACTTGGAAATACTGGCAGATTTATGATCTTATCCAGCAAAATCCTCTTACGTTGGAAAGAACATCCATACAAGACACTGAACTTTGATTGATTATTCACTCACTTCGAATTTTGAGAAGAATTGTAATGATCACTTTGTTTGTCTCTTGTAATATTCAGATCAACGTTACGCACCTTTGTGTAATGAATTCAATTGTATTTATATGTTTTTGAAAACTGTCACGAAAGCTATAAATCTCTCTTATCAGTTCCTCTTTTTTTATTAGGTCTATAAAATTTTTCTTCTGAGAAAAGTTTCGTAATAAAAGAAAAGGCTTTTAGCATCAAAAAGTATGTCAATATACCCCGTATAAGAGAGATATATTCAAAACAGAAAGAAGCAGTTAATGATGCACATCAAACTCATAAATTTTTAAGAGAAAGTTTCTAATAGTTGTGAAATAAGGACAAATATTCTTATCATTCTTCCTTTTTTTTCTCTGAAGAGACTTAACGACATAGTATTCGTGAGGATCAAGCCGCTGTGTTCTTCGACAGAACTAATTCTCTCTAAGTGGGAAAAATCTAGCTCAATAGTTCTTTTTCGAAAGATATACATTGTAAAAATTAATTAATATTAAAGTCATCCACAGCTGAAATTGCTAAAAGCCATTAAAACAACAAGAATTTTCTCTGTAATAGGGTAAAGTAAGTAAAAGAATACCGATACTGTGCAGTGTGTTTGTACAGATGACCATGTAACCGAAGAATTGCTCGCCCAATTTTATTATATAGTATAGGTCTTTGAGAGAAACTAGGTTCATCAAATATCTAACGAAGGAACTTTCCAACTATCCAAT